CTCATTGAAGAAATTGCATGGCGACTTGCTCTCCAATCTGTGCTAGAAGAAGAAGAGCAAGAAAGGGTGCAGAAAGAAGTTGTGGAGGATGAGGAAGAAAGCAAAGAAGAGGAAGTTCTCGATCATTTCCCAGGGGTGATACCACTTGAAGAAGGAAGGGGGGTTGAGGAAGCAATTGGCGTCCAGGCTGAGGATGAAGTTGCGGTGGAAGAGGCCTGCACCGGCCATGAGTTACATGTGATATCTCCACAAAACTTCGAGGAGCTGCTTGGCAAGGACCCATTTGCAGTGTCTCTTTGCCAGACCTAGGCCACATCGACATCGGTCCCTCTTGGTGGACGCGATGGTGGCCAATCGATGCTGTCTTATCTGGTTTGGGGCAATGAGACGAGAGAAGAGAAGAAGAGGTCTCGAGGGTGGAGACTTCATCTTCCTCAAGGTCACGAGCCGTCTTCATCACCTATCACTTCACTTGCTTGTGACTTGAGACTCCACATCATCGATGAGAACCTCAACTTCAAGGAGGTTTTGGGGTGGACCGAAACTTAGGAGCCACCGTCTAGCTAAGACGTAAAAGAAGCGCTTGTGGGGAGGCAACCCCACCAAGGTTTGTTTTTCTTTCGTTTGTTTTTGTCGGTTTGTCCACTTGGAACTATGGTTTCTATCACCCAGTGTGTTTTGCTGATGCTAGCCCGCTGACTGGTCCACTTCCAGTCCCCCAGCAGTGTTCTTACCCGGTAACATCGTTCCCCTAATCTTTCCCTCTGCTCCATTGAGGGCAATGTCGTGCTTAAGTGTGGGGGGATGCTTTGTATCGGTTGGACTATTTATGATGGTGCTTGGAGCCTAGTCCGCTGTCCGAATCTTACGATTTGAGGGCTCCAAGTACTGCTGTTTGATCATATTGGCACTGTATTTTGATGGATGAATTGATTGGTTTTCGGATTAATGCATGACAACTTGTTTGCGACTAGGACAACCTATGATGAGGACTGAGATGTGCAGTAGAACGATGTAGGGGTTCAGTTTTTCAACTGTTTGCTTGCCAACTGTGACTTGATCTGACTTGATCTGATTACTTGTTCTTGACAGTCGTTTATGCATCTAGTTCAGGGTATCAGAATGTGAGATAGAGCATATAGGTAGCCATGTGAGATTTGAGCCTGCTCGTTTCTTTCTTGTGCGATAGATCCCTCTTCCATGATGTGTAGCATTCACGTTGTCACTAGCTAAGATGATGGGGGCATAGGATTAGCCCACGCCCAAAACTGACTGTCCTGATGTGTCATATCCCCTAGTCAGCCCCTTTGAGCCGTGTGTTATCCTTTCTTTTGGTTTATAATGAAAAAAATCACCCTTGTTGCATCTTTTAGAAGGTTCCACAGAGTGGTTTTTATATATTCTCTGATGTTTCTGCTTAAGTCTATGTGAGTGTTGGAGGTAGTGCTTAAAAGTTGGGCAAGTGTTTGAAATTTATGCAGAAGTGGTGGCTCTCTTAAGAAATGAAAAGAAAAATAAAAGAAAAACAAAGAAAAAAATTGAAAGCAAAAGAGAGCCACTACCAAAAATCTGAATAATGCCCAGTAAGCAGTGTTTCTTAGCAGTCTAGCTTGGAAATGCTGATGTTTATGCCTCCTTCGCTCTTGTGCTCTTGAGATGTTGAGTAATGCAGAATAGCAGAAAGAAAATACCGGGTTGTTTGACTGTGATTGTGTGTTTGGGAAATGTGGAACCTTTTGCTATGAATACTTCCACCACCTAAAAGGCCTTTTTCCCCATGTCCAAGACCCTAGCCAGTCATTTGAACCTGTGTCTAAGACCTCCTGATTAGTTAGTGGTGACACCCCATATGTGAACTCTAGCATTTAGAGGCTGCCATCATGGTGAAGAGATGATAGGTATTGAGAGAAATAGCATGCGCATCTTTCGCATCAAATTGTCCTGACCCCACTGGTCGAGAGTGAGTGATTCATTTTCATTTTCTATAAGCTCTTGTACCCCGGTGAGGACCTAGATTGCTCGGTCTCTATTCTGATGTCTTGAGTTGGATGCATGAGTTGAGTGTTTTGAGTGAGTGGTTGAATCAAGTCTAGGTTGGCCAGTGAACAGAAGAGAGACTCTTCCTTTGCTCGATTTGCTGCACTCGAATGTCCTTTGTGGTGGTTGTCCAGGTTGTTATTGAGGTTGTGCATGTGTTGATGTTTGAAAACCAGTGCGATTCACGTGTTCTGTGCCTTTATGACTTTTCCCCAATGTTGGTTGATTGAAATATGTAAGCTTACCTAGTGTCCGACTTGGTTTGCTTGGGGACAAGCAAACGGTTAAGTGTGGGGGAGTTTGATAGACCGTCATTTACACATGTTTTTACCCTCATACTTACACCGTTTGAGGTGTTGATTCTCGTGTTTTAGGCTGATTTCACGCTAGGTTGTGCTTGTTTGTGTTATTTCAGGACCTAGTACGTGAATGAAGGCTTAGGAGCGAGTCTGTGGTCGATTGGACGCAGAACGGACGAAGGGCGACCTTTTTGGGGAGTGCACGGGCAGACCAGGAGGCTGCACGGCCGTGCACTTGAGCCATTTGGCCGTGCACCTCATGTCGAGGCCATGCACGGCCAGACCCTGAAGATTGCACGGCCGTGCGCCTGGCCGTGCAAGGTGGATGAAGGCCGAATAATTGATACGGTGCGTTTTGAGGGTGCACGGCCAAAATGGTGTTGTGCACGGCCGTGCACCTGGCCGTGCAACTCGGGAAAGTCGGTTTTAAAGCCTAATCCAAGCCAGAAGTGGGAGAATCGTGTTTTCAGAGCAAAAACAGAGCCCTAGAGAGAGAAAGTGCGAAGAACTCATCCTAGAAGCCGTCTAAGAGCTGGATTTCATCGAATCGAGCTTGGAGATCGTCATAGGAGTGGAAATCATCGTCCCGGAGCAGATTATCCTCATCGTTATGAGTATGACTAATCCGATTCTTGTTTTCTCTTCTCTCTCTATGGAGTAGAACCCTTCTCTCACTTGGGTATGAAGAACCCTAGTTCCTTGTGTTAGGGATTTGATTGTAATGACTTGGGATGATATTGCTGTTTGATTTTAATCGAATGACGCATGTTTAATGAATTGATTTGAGTCTGATCAGCTTGTCTCAATTTCTGCTTCAACCTGAGATAGATAGAATCTGATTAGGTTGTTAGAGCCTCTTCATTCGATAGTAGGAGATTGGCTATACGAGAGTTAGCCAGTTTACTGCTTTGTACTGGTGTTCTTGGCGCCAGTAGTGGAGTTCTGTGTTCATAGCCTCAGCTTTCTATCCCGGTGAAGACTAGTCGTCTGCTGGGTAGTTAGACTGAGAGGGCTTGGTAAGCTTAAGAGATTCCAAGCTACTGTCGGATCTTCCGCAGTCTAATCAACAGTAAATCAACCCAGGGAATTGCAATTGAACCTAACTAAGGGGCTAGGGGGACTCAATCCCGAGTGACTCTTGCCTGCTTTAGAAACCCGAACAATTTACTGCTTTCTTGTTGCTTTTACTTTTCACAACAATCACTCGACTTAGTTTGCTAGATAATAGAGAATCACGGAGTAAGCAGTAGATCTAGACCCCGGGTTGATAATTAAACTTGCCTATACTGCAGTCCCTTTCATTGGTTACACTTGGCCATTGTTAGGTGTTGTGTTTTAGCGTGTCACAGCCCTCAAGACAAGAGGTAGTTGGGAACCTGAGACAGCCGAGGCCCTTGCTAGTGGCACGCCAGCTCTCTCTGCAGAAGACGGAACTCGAGTTAGACTGTCAGACTGTCAACCTTTCATCCATAAGTTGCAGTAGGTGGAAAATATTGAGACCGAACTAAGAGTTTTGTGTCTCAATGTGGGAGTCTATTAGCATAAATGGGAGAAGGTACGTGGCATCATGTGAGAAGACAAGCGAATATGGCGGCGCATATTATGACACATAGTGAGACGAACTGGGAATCACCAGTTGTGTGGGTAGATAGACCTCCGATTTTTCTTATTGATCAGCTGATACTGGACAATGTAGTTGTTTCATCTGATTAATAAGATAAGCAGGTTTCCATAAAAAAAAAAAATCGAAACTCTTTAGGTCGGCCTCGCAGTGGTGAAGGGAGCAGTAGGACCGCCCAACTTTATTTTTTTTTCTCACCCTATAATTTAGAAGGCGGAAAATTTTCCCAAACCCACCCTGCAGATTTTGACACGTGCACCCATTCCCTTTAATCGGATGCAAACCTATTAATATTCCACTCTTTATTCTCTTTTTCTCCTCCAGTGCTCCTCTTCCTTTTCGATCCCCTTCATGGTCGTTCTCTCTTCCTCTCTCCCCTCTACACACGCCCAAATCCCCGACAGTCGTTTGAAGCTCCTCCCCGCCACAGTTTCCCCTTATCGAGGAATCGTTGCTTCGCCTTCCGCCGCTTGAATTTCCCTCTCCGGTGGTTTTATTTTGACTTTCGTGCGCACTCCTACTTTCCAGATAATAATAAAAGAAGGCGGATAAGAAGCAAAATTGAGTTTCCTTTGAAATAATAGGAGGTAGAGAAAGAGAGGGTCGGGAGCAATGACTGCATCCGCCACTACTAACAGCGTCTATATCCATGTAATCGAAGACGTCATCAACAAGATTCGCGAGGAGTTCATCAACAACGGTGGCCTTGGAGAGACGGTCCTTAATGAGCTCCAAGGAGTAATAATACTATCTTTCCTCTGCACTTTGTCCCTCGATAAGTTGTCGTCCCTTCTTTGGTTTCTTTCTTTTCTTGAAATCATATTGCTTCTGCGCTAGGGTTTTTGTTAAATCGTGTGTTGGGACTGTTGTGAATCATTTTTTTTTTTTTGCTTGGATCTGGGCACAAGTTCTGGGGTTTGGAGACTTGGGTTCAATTGGCGTTTGTTCAAGTTTGACCATTCTATTCTGATTTGGATTTTCCACTCAAATTTGGGAGATGAAGATGATGCAAGGGGACATGATTTTGGGGTTAATTGATCGGTCTTCCGGCCAGATGTAGGCAGTCGGTGGTCCTACTCCAGTGCATGACCTTAATGTACCCTATGAAGGCACTGAGGAGTACGAGACTCCCACGGATGAGATGATATTCACTCATGTGAGTAATTGGTTTAGGCTTTCTGTTATATGATGGCATCGTTGGACTCATTTATGTGTATATGTCCTGCCATTGGTGGTCTGTTCATTTTCCTCGGAGTTTTTGGTTGTTTTATAGAGACTGCTAGTTTCGTATTATTGTAGTTAACCACTGAATGACTATTTTTCCCCAATTTTAAGATCCTTGGATTTAGTTTATTTGTTGTTCCATGGAAAATAGATTTGTATTCTGCTAGTGGCGAGGCTGCTTGAAATTTTAGAGCTATAAGCTCATTACTCCATTAATTATAAAAAAAAATATTGCTCGGCTGACTAGATTCTTTCTCAATTTCTCTGATTGAATTGCAAACACCATTGCAGACACCACTACCAGCACAAACCCCTTTGCCAGGAAATGTGCACACACCTTTGCCTGGAACCGCAGACAACTCCTCCATGTATAACATTCACACGGGAAATATCAGTGAATAGCCTACTCCTATAAGTGACGCTAGTGGTAGTACTGGAAATGGAGAAGCTAAAATTGGGCGACCTAGCCCATACATGGTAATAATGGAACATTATTGCCAGTCGATAAATTTATGACTGGGTTTCTGTTCTTTTGATGTTATTATGATGTTGCTTTGCACTAAGATCGCACTAAGATCTTCTTCCTTTGGGTTCCCACTACTTTGTTGGCCAAACTATATGACCTACTTCTAATTCTAACCTTTCTCCTCTTTCTTGAATAGCAACCTCCTTCACCTTGGATGCAACAAAGGCCTGCAATTAATGTTGATGTTAATGTTGGTAAGTATATTGACATTGTTGACATATTTTGGCACTTTGGCGCTCAAGTGGTCCTTAGCCCATTTAAATTGCTCAATTGTAGCTTATGTGGAAGGGCCGGAGGAAGCTGACAGAGCGACTTATAATCAGTCCCTGGCACAGGGTAACTCTTATTACTTGCTTTTCCACTGCTTCCATAGATTTTTCGTGTATGACGTGAAGAAAAGTGATGAGCAAGGAGTTCTAACAGCTGAAGGATATTCATCATAATTTTTTATGACGTTCCATGTATTCTTCTATCATATGGAATGATAAATTGATGTTACCAATGACTTTGACTATCAATTCTAATGTTGGAACTGGTTCCAGCACTTCTTCACGATGTCTTCTGGAAAGCGCAAGCGTGAGGACTTTCCACCACCATATAATAATGTCAGATACATACCGCAGCGAGATGGCGCCAGAGATTCAGTATCTGAACCACAGGTTAAGTGGATTCAAATGTTATGCCATATATATCTTCCTGAAATATTCCACAGTCATAACTATGAAGTCGGTGATAGTGTTTCTTGACCCTTAGGAATGTGTTTTATGTGATTCAGTGAGAACTTTGAATGTGTGTTGGTCACCTGTTAGCTAACTATGACTTTATTATATGCCAGGATGAGTTCAACATAAATAGTTGAAGTCTGGATTTTTTCTGGTAGTCACTTTAAGTATCTAAGCTCACCTGTTGAAATCAGCTAGTAATGCATTGCCGCTTCAATTTTTTGCTTTGGTTTCCGTGGAAGATATAGTAGGTTGCAACACCGACCATCTCCGAGAGCCATCATGTTAGAATTTATATGTATTTTAGTTTGGCAATGCAGTTTCTGGATTGCTTTGGTTATTAGCTCTTGCCTTGTAACATGTTGATAATGAAAATTATGACAGCTGAGATATCTGATACTGGAGGAGTGTATGCTTGTTGGTGCTAGTTATGAATTCTGAATAATTAAGTCTATTGTTGAGAGTTGTTGTCCACGTCTAGGGAGGTTTGCATCCGAGGCAGATTTATTCCTGTTGGTGTTAGGTCCAAGTCCTATCTCCTATCACATATTTCTATGTAGTTTGGAGCAGGGAATCCTCAAATCCGTGTGGGGTTACGTAAGACAGTGTTGTATGAATCCTATCTCTGTTTGACAGGAAGGCTTGATTATGTCGGTGATAGTAATTACCATATAGAACTGTCTAGTTTGGGACACATGACCATACTAACCTATGATGTTGCATCTAACGTTGGCATACATTTATTGACGTCCAGATTCTTTATTTTGAACTGTGAATCATTTGAATTCAGAGATGGCATGGGAATGATGCCAGATCCAAAGTAGTGACGGTTGTGAAGAATCAGTCGGTTGCAAGTTTCTTTAAGATCACTCAATCTGATGGTCCCATTCCAGATCCTTATGATGATGTTCTATCCACTCCAAACATAAGCATCTTTAGTTTTCTTGAAAAAGAACTCCGCAAACATTCTGCATATACATGCTCTACTTGAGCCTGCTTGTATAACTTTTTCTTCCCAAAAAATTAGCAAATTTTTTGGGCATGACTATACCCTAACCATTATTGAGTGAACCCTAGGTCCTAATTATCTAAATCATAAACTATACACCCTAAGATGGTGCATTCATTTTTTGCCTATATTTGGACGAATCCGAACAGTCGATTATTGTTTCTAATTAAATTGATCTTGTAGTATGAGATTTAGAAAATTAATACCTAGATTTTGATCTTTAAGGATTAGAGTATAGTATCATGTCCGAAAGATCAGTCCATTCAAGTGCTGAAAATCGTTATCATACTCAAGGTATGTCGTACCCCAAATTTCACACTGGGTACCGTAGAACTCACTACATAGATATATTTACTACACTCACTTTTTTGGGTACATATAATACTCTAAAAGTAGCCATAATACATAGAATTTTGAACTTTAATTGACAGTATTAGTCTAATATGATGTTATAACATAAAATCATAACTAATCAATATACTATCCTAACCCCTTAACATTCAATTTTGAATCTCAACCCAAAATCCTAAATTATAAACCTAAACCCTAACCCTAAATCCTAAATACTTCAAATTAAAGTAAATCTCGAATGAGTTATTTGCAAATTCATGCGTTTCTTGTTCATAACATCATAAGCGACGATCGATACCTTTTTTACATGAATCACATGCTCAAAATGACGATTATGAGGCGAGTGTACTGAATGAAAAAAAAAAGTGGCATTAAGACATCAAATTTGTGATGTTTACTTGGTACCATTAGTGTGATATGTTGATATAACATATGATCACAACTAATTAATCTAACTCCTAAACCTTTAATTTTGAACACATGACTCGTTCCAACTACACCAAATAAAATCTCTACTAGAGCCCAAGTATAAACTCTAGTAGGTGTAGTATAGGGCAAACGTTTTAATTGTCAACTTGGGGCGGTACATGTACCCTACTTCAATCGCTTAAGTTGTTATGTAGCAAACAGTTTGGAGTTTAAAACTAAGAAAACTATAAAGTAAACAAACAAGTAAAGTAAATTGAGGTTGTTCCAACTTCCAATAAGAGAAGAATTCACCCGGGTATTGTTCTCCCTAGCTACATATTAAGCTAGGGAACTAGCTCTTTTGGCCAATTGATAACGATGTAATTGCATGATTTTATACCCCTATTTCGTATCCATTTGCGGAGTATAGTTGTGTGTTTTGGCCTATTTTACGCCGGGTTGTGCTACTTTGTCCTATTTCAGGTCCCAGGCGTCGAAGGGAAGGCCAAGCGCGAGTTTCGGATCGTTTGGAAGTTGTTTGGGAGAGCCAGGACCAAAACACGGGCAGGAGGCCTTCAGAACACGGCCGTGTTCCTGGCCGTGCTTTTACTGCCGAGGCTCTCCATGTGTGGGCTGCAACAGCTAAAAAACACGGGCGGGGTCAACCAATACACGACCGTGTTTTACCCAGAAAACGCCCGTGTTTTCCCCAGCCCGTGCCCGTGTAATTACTACATGGCAGAGAACACGGGCGGGCTGGACCAGAACACGGCCGTGCCCTCGACCGTGTTCTGGCCAGTGATGCCCTATTAGGCAGATTTCAGTCCAAAAGAAGGGGGGATTCGAGTTTTAGAGAGAAAGCGATTCCTAGAGAGAGAAAGCGACGAACAAGAGTCTCCAAGTGCCCTAGCTTGATCTTCATCACCATTGGAGCTTGGCTTGAGCTTGGAAGAGTGCCGATCAACGTCCAGGAGCTGAAATCCATCCTTCACAGTGTGGTTTCCGCATCTGATTCTGCTTTTGCTTCTTTCTCCATGGAGTAGTTCTCCCATTCATATGGGTGTGGGAAACCCTAGATCTGTATGTTAGGATTGATTGTATGAACCCAAGTACTGTTTCTATGATTTGATTATATTCGATTGAGGTTTGAATGATTGAATGGCATGAATCCTGATCAAATTCCTGTTGTTTCTGCTTTAACCTAGAATGAGAATATCTGCCTAGGTTGATAGAGCATCCTTAATTGAAGGTAGCGAATTGGTGACTTTAGTCGAGGAGCCAATTCGCTATTCTGTACCGAAGTCAATTCAGTAGTGGAGGTTTGGTTCGTTAGGGCCTCAATCTGTTTACTCCGGTGGAGGTTAGTCGCCCGCTAGAGACTCAGATTGAGAGGGTCTGAAGACCTTTAGTCGAGACTTCAGACTGTTTCAGAACTTTCCGCAGTATAAATATCATAGAAATTGAACTTGGTAATTACAATCCGGCTTAACTGCAGTCTAGGGGGAACCATATCCGGGTGACCTCTCTTAACCTGAAAACAACCGTTTAGTTGCTTTGCTTGCTTGTTAGTTTAGACCTTCACTAAAGTTTCATTGCTAGATAATACGAATTCACTGAGTAGTCATCACATCTAGGACCCGGGTTGACATTGAAACCCAAACCGGCTATACTACGCTTTAGGAAGTGGTTTCACTTGGCCATTTTCTAGAGTGACAGTAGGAGTGAGTCAAGTTTTTGGCGCCGTTGCCGGGGACGGCTAGGTTGTTGAAGAAAAGTGATTTCTGTTACTTTAGCATTTTCATTTTCGCATTGAGTGTTTGTCCTTTCCCACTTGTGCCTTCACGGGTTTGCATTGCTTGATTGTGTGCAGATAGTACATGACCCGTAGCCAGTCGGGAGGTTTACTGCCGTTGGATCCAGAGATTGAACGCACCTGCAACCAACTTCGGAGACAACAACGAGCTAGACTGGTTACGGTGGAGCACAGAGACGGCCAATTGAGCAGCGAATCCGAGGACGAGTACGAGATGGAGGGCGAAGACATCCCACAACTGGGGAATGCTCGACAGGCTCCCCCGGTGAATCAGCATCCACCACCACCGCCGGGTCCCACCTTGGATTACTACTACACTCCACGGATTGCCAACATCCGCCCGGTCATTCTCTATTCACCCATCCCAGCAAACAACCTCGAGATCAAGCCATGCTGGATTCAACTCATTACATCATCTATCCAGTTCCATGGTTTGAAGGATGAGGAGGCCCGGGCACATCTTTCCCGTTTTCTGCAGCTGACGAACGGGTTCAACCTGAACGGTGTCCCGGATGACGCAATCCGCCTTCACCTCTTCCCCCATTCTCTGGCGGGGAATGCTAAGAGGTGGTTGGAGACCCAGCCCCCACTGTCCATCACTTCTTGGGAT